CCTACAAATGAAGGATGAAAGAGTCAATATTCGCTTGCAAAACCTTTCTTTATTTTTATTTCATTTATTGGCAGGATTCAATTTCAATAGAGGTAAAATAAATCATCTCTTGAAGTTCTTTGGTATTTTCTCGATTCAAGCAATCCTTCTAAGAATTTCAAATTGTGAGATACACTATGATTCCATCGGAGTTCTGAGTTCTGAGCAAAAAAAACATTTCATTGTTATGAATTGGATATAAGATGGTGGTGAGACCTGCAATGGTTTATGGTGCCGAATGTTGGCCATTAAAAGAGAAGCATAATATTAAGTTAAGTGTTGCAGAGATGAGGATGCTTAGGTGGATGAGTGGCTTGACCCTTAGAGATAGGATACGAAATGAGCATATACGTGAAAAGGTTGGAGCAGCTCCAGTGGAAGATAAGATTAGAGAGAGTCGCCTTAGATGGTTTGGTCACATTAAACGAAAGCCTCCCGATGACCCGGTTAGGAAAGTTAAGGTATTAGATGTGATTTATATTAAGAAACGTAGAGGTAGACCTAAAAAGACTTGATTAGAAAATATTAGAAATGCTCTTTCTTTATTAGATTGAAATGAGAATTTGACTTTAAACCGGACACAATGACGATAAAGGATTCATGTAGCCGACCCCACGTAGTGGGACAAAGGCTTGATGTTGTTGTATTGTTATGAATTGGATATAGATAATTAAGAATATGATCTTAATTGGAATATTACTTTACTTTCTATAGTCTTTATATCTGGCCTTGCGTAAATATGATTGAGACGCATATATGATGTCATATATGTGTCTGCATATGCATACATCTCAGGAAGGAAGAAAATGCCCATTTTTTATTGTTAGCAAATTTAACTCCTAAAAGGTAATTTGACCTTCATAGATCTCTGGTAACAAAACATTTTTGAAAATGTTATTTTTTTAAGAAATGTCATTATGATCACTTGAGTGAGAGATCATTGAGAAGAGGAGAGGTCAGACAATTGATGAGCTAATATTTCGTTAAGACCACATTCCCTTATAATTGATGAAGAATATTTATATGAAACATCAATGTCCTTACAACATAAAAAAGATGATATTCTTTTGCATTTTGTAACACCATTATGTTGAGATATGCTGGGATAAGAAGTTGATTGATAATACCATTAGCAGAACAAAACATACAAAACTACAATTACATAAACTAAAGCACTCTCAGTACATTAAGTTTCGATTTAAGGTGGAAAATTGAAAATTTGTTTGTTGATAAAATGTTAGAAGTACGTGAAGGACCTCTAGTTAATATTTGAAGTAAACCCAAGTGATCCGTGATGAACATTCAGCAATAAGTTTACAAAATGACATAAATCTAGGTAAGAGAGGACTGGACTAGGATTCCAAATGTCCCAGTGAACTAACTCCAAAAGAAGAGGTTGGCAAGTAGCAATAGAAAAATGAAAAGACATACGGTGTTTTTTACCCAATTCTTAAATCAGGGCAATCAAATTAAATAAAGACGACGAAATAGAAAAATCTCGAAGTCAATTGGGGTAGGATAACTTAACCTTTAGTGCCATGAAAAATAAGTAATAGTTGTGGTAGGTTGGAACAAAAGTCGGTCTTCTAGTAGTAGATTGATAGCTTTAGTAACTCCAATCATCTTTTTAAAGATGAAACCCTAGAAGACTCAATAAGAGGAATAAAATGTTACAAATAATTATGAGTCTTCATAAAATAATGAATTGATAATAGGTTGACATGAAATTATGAGACACACAAAGAGATGCGTAGTTTTTTTTTGAGGATGTATAATACCCTTTTCTAGAGATAGGTAGACCTTTAACAATGATAATAGGTGGTAGATATGTAATTTGAAATTAAGAAAAAAGTTTGCAGTTATTTGTCATACAAGAAGATACAGATAAATCCACAACCCAAAACATACCAATAGGCAATAGAGATAAATATAGTTGCAATAAACCTAGATGAATATATTGTGTTAGATGTTGAGTTAGATATCTGAGATCATTAAAGAAAGTATTCATAGTCTTCTTGAGAGAGTAATTGATCCAGGGGGGACTAAAAACTATAAGGAGTTGACAAGATTGGTTTGAACTGGAAGTAGTTGAGGCATGACTGAATTTCTTCCAACAACATTTACAAGGATGATTGGTGCGACTGCAATGAGGTCCGAAATGAAAATCATTATGACCACGGTTGCAAACACCACAAGCATGGCCACCACATTCATGACTCCCTGGATTTCCCCTAGAGCAAGAGGCCAAGGAAGAGGTTGATTGGTTAGGAGTGGGAGGTTGGGGAGCAGGGAGCTCGATGAAGTAAAGAATTGGAAGAGAATAGTTGTAATTTTAGAAATCATGGGGTATGCCATCAATTGAGATTAAACACCTTATTGAAAAGGATGTTGTCTAGAGCTAAATTTAGTGACAAGGAATACTTCCTTCTTGTTGTGCTAAATAGTTGGTTCAATAGTAAAGGAGTGTTATTGAAGTAACTTAATTTCTCCTTAGTGTGTTATGATTCTCCTGTATGGGCATTTTATTTTGTTGAAGGGAAAGGAATTTCAAAATAGAAAACATAGACATGATAGATTTTACTTTCCTGAAAGTATGTGGAGTGAAGAAAATCCCATTTTTAGAAGATTTTGAAACTTGATATTTGTGGATATGGAGTGTCAAGACTATTAAATAAGAACACTTTTTTCTTTGATGTTTGCCATTTGGAAAACTTGATGGTGTTAAAGTTATCTGGAGGTGTCAAAGTTATTTGGAGGAGAGGTATGAAGGTGCTATAGTTTGCTGACATTAAGAAAAATTAAAACTCCTCGACCACATGAGACAATTTATACCATTGAATGTGATGTTGGTATCAATAGTGGAGGGTTTCCAATCTTTGAGATATGAGTGAGAAGACATGATAACATGAGAGAAGAATTATTGATGTAATACTTGATCATAGACATTGTGTAAGTTATTAGATTATCATTCTCTTGGGGTGTAGTTGAGCACTTGTGAGCGAGCAAGCGCAGCATGCAGACCAGAAAATACAAAAAAAGTGTGGTCGAGTGGACAAGTGCAACAAGTGCGCGAATGTGCATAATTGGTGGGCATGTGGTCAAGTGCTATGGGCACGCAGGTGAACGCAATGAATGCGTGATTGAGATGGGTGCATAACGATCACATGATCGAGTTAGTGTGATTGCATAAGCAAGTAAGGATGTAAGCATTGCAAGTGACGAAATCAGGAGTTTAGGGCAAGTGGTGGGATCAAAATTGAATGAATAAGATACAATAGTGGGGGTGTAGCTAGGATAAGAGCTAATGTACTTCTAATACCAGATTAAAGGATTAAATTATTTTGTATAATTCAATAGAGATCTTTGTTATTTATAGTAGTGGGATGAATTCAATGTTCTAGGTGTACCCAAAAATCATATGCGTTTTTTGCCTAGTGAATAAAATCAAAATTTATTTAGCAACATTAATATTTTATATAATAAATTTGTCTTTTGTGGTAAAATTAGTAATTTATTTGATAAAATTAGATGTTTTTTGTAATATAATTTTTTTCTTAGATAATACTTTTTTATCTGGGCAATTAACAAGTATGCCCATTTTTTATTGTTTATTAACAAGCCTGTTTATGAGAGGTTTTACAGAGAAGTATAAAGAGAATATGGAGGATCTACATATGATATTTATTGATTTAAAGAAAACATATAATACAGTTCCAAGAGAAGTGTTATGGAGAGTTTTGGAAAAGAAAGGGGTTAATAATGCTTATATTCAAGTCATTAATGATATGTATGCAGAAGTTGTTACTTGTGTTCAAATACAAGGTGGTTTGATCAAGTATTTTCCTATTTTAGTTGGATTACATCAAGGATCAGCCTTAAGCCCATATCTTTTTTCTTTAGTCATGGATATTCTCACTAGACATTTGCAAGAGGTTGTATCCTTGTGTATGCTTTTTGTTGATGATATTCTTCTTGTTGATAAGACTAGAGAGGAAGTTAAAGGTAAACTTGAATTATGGAGGTCAACTTTAGAGTTTAAAGGCTTTCGTTTGAGTAGATCTAAAACTGAATATATGGAGTGTAATTTTAGTAACAATAGATCTAGTGGAGGATTGTGACTTTGGGCAATCAAGTCATTAATAAGAGTACATGTTTTAGATATCTTGGGTCTATTGTTTAGAGTGATGGTGAAATAGATGGGGATATTATTAGTAGAATTCAAGTTGGATGGTTGAAGTGGAGGAATGCATCGGGCTTGTTGTGTGATAGAAAAGTCCCCCTTAAACTTAAGAAAAAATTCTATAAGATGGTGGTGTGACCTGCAATGCTTTATGGTGCAAAATGTTGGCCATTAAGATAGAAGCATATTATTAAGTTAAGTGTTGCAGAGATGAGGATGCTTAGGTGGATGATTGGATTTACTCTTAGAGGCAAGATATGAAATGAGCATATATGTGAAAATGTTGGAGTACCTCCAGTGGAAGATAAGGTTAGAGAGAGTCGCCTTAGATGATTTGGTCACATAAATGACGGCCTTCCGATGACCCGGTTAGGAAAGCAGATGTATCAGATTTGATTTATGTTAAGAAAGGTAGGGGTAGACATAAAAAGACTTGGTTAGAAAATATTAGAAATGACCTTTCTTTATTAGATTTAAATGAGAATTTAACTTTTAACATGACACAATGGAGAAATGATTCATGTAGCCGATCCCACATAGTGGGATAAAAGCTTGATGTTGTTGTTGTTGTATTAACAAGCCTGTTTATGTTAAGATGCCACTTGATCTTTCAATACTAGTTATTGATTGTTATCAAATCCACGCATTCTATAATTTTTTTATCTTTTAATTGGTCTATCTTCTACTACCGCTAACCACCTTATCTTTTAAACCTTTCCTCCCTTTTTAACTTTTCACCAGTATTCTTTGATATTTGTATTCTAAATGTCATAATTTGCAGGCATTGGGTTTTGTTTATGGTGCTCGAATTGTCCAAGCCCCTGAACCAGTTCATGGACGTCTGAGGTACTTTCTTTGCTAGGTTGAATTATTTTTGCATTTTGATTCGAAGTATATCCTAAGCCCTGGGATGAATATCTAAAACATTCCCCGTCTCCAGTGAAATTGAACATATAGGTTGCAATCTCTTCACTGGTATTCCATCTGGACGGAGATCAGGATTCAAGGTGAGATAAAAACGTACTTACAGTTAAGAGTGCTTGTAATACTATTTTTTTATACTGTATTTTGAAATCACCTTTGCATTTCCGTTTGATAATGTTTTCCAGAACATTGCACAGGAATCATTTCCTACACATCTGCTTCTTAAAATTAAATATTTGATCAGTTTTAAATTTCATGTAATTGGTTCAACTGTTATTTTTTATTGGCAGGTTCCATTTGTTTTGGCATACGAGCCAAACAGCATACATGCTTTTCACCCATTACATCAGTCTATTTCATTCTTTTGCTGGGTTTTGGTTCATAGTTTTAAGGCATGACAATATAATATGCAGGTCATGCGTTACCATTCACTTGTTATAGCTGCAGAATCAATTCCTGAGGAACTTGTGCCTACAGCATGGAGTACTTCTGTGCGTACACATTCTTATTTTGAGACACAAGAATCTGATATGCGTCGTGGTTCCTTTGTGAATCAAACACATAACTTCCAACCTTTTGGTGATTTAGAGGGCGCTGGATTGTCAGATATTGGCGTTTTAAATGACAAGGAGAGAAGCAAAGTCCTTATGGGTCTGATGCATCGTAGCTGGCCACATTATGGGGTGCAGGTATGGTGCATTCCATTTGACAACCATTATATTATTTATGGAATTCATCATCTAACTTTAATCAGGGACCAGTTTCATCCTGAGAGCATTGCTACCTGTTATGGTAAGAAGATCTTTGAGAATTTCAAGAGGATTACAATTGACTATGGGTTGAGGTCCAGCCTGCAAAAAAGAAAGGTCCATTATAGTGGTAAACTGCAATTATTTCTTATAAATATTAACAACCTATCTTGAAATTTCTCTTGTGCAAAATTCTTTGATCGTCTTCTTATAATGTAATTTTTTTTCTTTGAAAATATGAGAACTAAAACATAGTTAATTAGGGTAGGCTTGGGTATAACAATTAAACTTATTTTAGGTATATTGTGTCTGTTATATAGAATTGTTGACCCACACGAATGCAAAAAAAAAAAAAAAAAAAAAAAAAAAAAAAAAAAAAAAAAAAAAAAAAAAAAAACTGAAATCAGAAAAAAAAACTCGCATACCTGCCTCGGTTGTCTGACGATGTGCACACCATGTCGCCTTAGTCATGCTCTACACGAGCTATGCACATCCACGACACTCTCTGGTCGTCCTCTCGTACGATCTCTGTCCTTCTTGCGTTATTAAAACGAGAGGGGAAGAGGCCTCTCGTCTTCCTTCCACGCTGAAGCACTCACGACATCTTTTGTTTGTAAGCCATCCGACTTTCAACCTCTAGCCGATCTTCTTCTCGTCATTGTACCGCCTCCCTTATAGCCTTTGAGCCGCGAGCACCTAATCAAATCTCTATCTAACTCTTCCTCCCATCCAGCCGCAAACAAGACCCACAAGACCCGTTGATCCTTTCGACTTCACTGCTCCAGCCGTACCATACCCAACCATTCCACCTCCAATCGAATCCCATTGGCTTGGTTCATCTCCAGCCGAGCTTCCTCCTCTTATCCACTGCCAAATCCCAAATCTCCTCTTCCCGTCTTCAACCACACGGCTTGTGTCCGATCTAACCGCTGACTACGACTCAACCATTCGCAAACCCTCTCTCCCGTTTCCTTACATCCACCCGACCTTCAATCTCTGACCCAACCTCACAAACCTACCTCAAGCTCCTGGTCTAGCCTTCCATGTGCTGACTTCCCTCTGCCCCGATTCCTCATAGCCGCATACCTAGATTAAGGTAAATTTTTTAATTATTTTTATCTATTATTATTAGTAATTAATAATTATTATGATTTTTATTAATTATTATACTAAGAGTAATAGTTATCATTATTATTACTATAATTATTATTATTAATTATTAGCACGACGAGCAATAATTCATGCACGCTTTTCTTAGGTAGGTGAGAGGAAGCTCGCTACGATGCTTGCAGCAAGACATGTAATCTTTGTGCGCGCTTTTCTTAGCACAACAGGGCAAAAATTAAGTACATGGCATAAGCCTCAGTGCTGACGGGGAAACAACTATGCATTTTCAAACAGTTACCCATGAAGACATATGCACGCCTTTCTTGGCATGGTGGGATTGAAGATTACTGCCGTGGTGTCACACGACATCGACCATACACGTCTTTCTTGACGTGGCGAGAAGACACTCCCCAAATTTTCCCCAAACAGGGGATATGCTAGGGTGCTACCGAAATTTAATGTGAAAATGCACAAAATTCAAATGAACAACACAGGACCTGATTCAAGCTGAATGATAGGGAGCAGGACTTTCAAACTGATCAACAGGGAACCAGACCCTAAATTCTAAAATGTACAATCAAATAAAAAAATATAGAGGTCAAAGGATAATTCACTATATTCAAATGAATATAAATTAACAAGCAGGGGACCTGCACTGGATACATTAACTTGCAAATGAACATTAGCAAAGAGCCTGTAAATGAACTTGATAACTCACTCACAGGTAGGGGACTTATGTTAAACAAAACTCATAGCATGATCAACAATTATAAGGAGGGATATGTGCCCTAATTGTAAGCAAATACGTTAAACTCCTACAACTAACGCTAAACAAAATACACTAGCTTTCAGCAAACAGAAGAGGTTGGCAAGTGATGAATGCAATAACTTGACTTGGTAACCAAGATATGTTCTAGTAGTTCAAAGCAAAATACGGTTTATGTTTCATCAGTGTAGCCTGATTGCAAAGAGATATGGCGGCCGCTGTATAGGCAATTTGCAAAAAGGATAACAATATAATGATTCATCCACGATCACATATGAAGAATGCAACAGTGTTCTGCAGGCAACATCAACATCTTGCATTCAACTTGTCATTGCTGACAAGTACATTAAGCCACCTATGGATGATGGTGGTGGACATGATGCAAATCATCTGTAAACTGAAATCAAGATTCCATCGTGAACATAGACACCTGCAAGCGACTGTAGGAGACCCATTTAACTAGAGTAGTCCATCTACAGGTGGCATCGAACATGTAGCGTATTGCAGATTATTCCTACAACCATCAAGTATTTGATGACAAGAATATGCATTGATCCCCCCTTGCAAGCAAAGAGTAGATGATCAAGGTACATTGCCCACATCAATAACACATTGTGAGCAAAAGGTACAAATGTGCATTGAATGACAACTTGCCAGCCAACATGCACAAGGAACCAGTGATGAATGCAGTTCTCAACCGGTAGCTGACATCAACACACAAGTGAATAAATAACCATCCATGAATAATGATTAATTGATGCACAACATTCATGCTTGTGGAAGATGCGAATTAGTTGCATGTATGGCTGAAGTATGAAAAGCCTACAGTAAATGCTGCAATATCTCTGCAATCAGTGTCAATTCACTTGTAGACAAATACGATCATTTCTTGTGAGCAATGATGATTGATATGATCTATTTGTGAATAACAACATTGGATGTATTGCAAGTACAACGAATCCCCTGTGAACACAAATACATACACCACTTGCAAACAACTGTAGGAGACCCATCATGCTATGGTAGTCCACCTACAGGCGACGATGACAATATGCGGCATGTGTCAGATCCTTCCTATTGTTGACAATCCCTTAATGACAAGCCCGTACATTGATCCCTTACACGCAAAGATCAAGTGATTGATGTATAATGCTCACATCAATAGCACCCTCAAAGTAGAAGTGATAGATGTGTATTAAACAGTAATTTTCCAGCTGACATGCATATGGAAATCAGTAATGAACGTTGTTCAACTGGTAGCCCATGTCATTTACGTGCAAATGAAGATATAGAATTTGCTCGCAAATGATAATGCTACCTGCAGACATGCACAGGCAGCACACAAAGACATCAGTGTGTCTATACGATCAATAACAATAAGCCTTCAATGAATACACTAATATCCCACAAGCAGATATAGTTGATTTGTAGCAGATGCAAGTACCTGCAAGCCACTATAGGGGACCCATTAGGGGTGTCAGAGCAAGTCAACGTGTTGTGTTCGGGCCCAACCCAGCCTGACCCGGGTCCAAACGGGTCAACCCGAGCCCAATTCAGTTTTGAAAATGAGTCAGGTTTCTCAACTCGGACCCCAATCGCTCGGGTTAACCCGACCCAACCCGCAAACCCTGTTGCAAACAAGTTAGGTTTCCCAAACAGTGTCGTGAGCTTGCTAGGACGAGTACGAGAGGAGTGGGATGCATGTGCGAGTTCAGGTAGAGGCGTCAGGAGGGTGTCGCTCAACAATTAAGGCCTGCGCGACAGTCGTTGTTTGCGCGAGTACGGGCGAAGGCATTCGCGAATGGGAGGAGCGGCACTGCCGGGACGCTTGTACGGCCCTAGTGCGAAGGCGACAAAGCGGAGGCGGAGTGGTGGATGACTGCTTGCGGTCTGTTAGTCTGAGTTTGAGGTGTCTCATATTGGGGGGTTGACAACAACATGCGATGCGACCCTCTAAATGCAGGCGATTGAGTGTGTGCGGGACAGCAACCAGCAGGAGTGATGGTTTAAACGGGTCATTCATTCAGGTCAAATCGAGTCGAAGTCGGGTTACCAGGTTGATTGGAACCAGACCCGATTTTTCAAACGGGTTAAAAACTGCAACCCGATTCGACCCGTTTGTTAAACGTTAAGTAGACATAGTTCACAAGGATCAATCAACAAAAAAATATAATTACCGATTAAATATCATGATGATGGCCGTGTTGAATGTAAATCTCAACCGGAGTGGTTAAATCTCAAAAATCTATGGACCCAAAGCCTATAATAAACCTGATCCTCTGCCATCAAACGAGACAGAGTCGACAAGGCTCATTCAATGAAATGAAAATGCCCATAAATACCCCGATGATGGCCGTGTTAAACGTAGATCTCAACCGGAGGAGTTAACTCCAAATATTTTAAATGCCTCCCAAATTCTCAAATGCTTATAAAATTCAAAATATTCTACAAATCATCTAAAATCCACAATATTTAAAAAGGAAAATAGCCATCAAAATGCTTAAAACAAAAATATTCATCAACCCTCTACAACATTTTGTCGATATTGATAAATTTGAAAACTACTACAGCTCACAAAGAGCTAATGTCTAGTTGAAAATATTACTATGATTCATTCTCAATTTGTCTCCTGCTAGTAAGGACATAGTACATGTCCTTTAATCAATGATTTTGCCGCCAAATGGAACCACACCGTGGATTCCATCGCTAAATGGAAACATATGTAAACATTTATGACTAGGACCCTCTGACCGAGTGGTTTTACTGCAAAATGACACCATTATATTACAGTTATGATCAGAGCTCGTATGTTCCCCAACGGCTTCAAATATTTGAGGAATGAATCAATAGGGCACAAATCCCTCCGTTAGCTAAGGTGGATTCAAATTTATCCCCTTAGACAAATACTCACCCAAAGTCTACAAGGTACCTTTGGACGAAGCAACCTATGGCTGCCGAAAAGGATCATTCTGTCAGGTTGGGTCGACTACCTCCTCTAACTAAGTAGACCAGAGATCACGATGGCCCGGGACGACGGAACTATGGGATCTTGATCGGGCTCATCACCATTCCCCCCACCATCCTCTTTAAGTGCAAGATGATGAAATTTTTAAATTTAAATATTAAATTCTCACATACCAAACTCATGCTGCTACTATACGCCAGATACTCTGTATCTGTTTTACGACTAGCCTTAATCGAAAGTTCTCTCTCTCTATTGGGAAGGGTAATTAACTATAGGGGCTTGCGCCTATAGGAAACCTGAACTTAGATCATAAAGTCCTCGCAAAATGAGGGCGAAATCTCTAGGTAATTTCTTATTTCAAACCCAATTTGCCTTTTAAAAATTTGCCTTGGAACTTAATTCGTTGAAATTCTCCTGTTTCAGGGGAGGCCGGGGCACGAATTTTCGGTGCCCGCAAGAATAATGAGAATATAATCTCCATATTTAAGTTTTGGTGGTTAAATGGAGAAGTGCAGCAAAAGTACTATATGATAAGATATTTCATGGAGACTCACTTGTAAATTTTATAACTAAAATTAAGGCTTGTTATGTTGTGTAAATGTAAATGTATATTGTTAGTATAGAAGTTAATGATAGATTTGTTGAGCATATGAAAATTTGAATGTTAAGAGGGATGTGTTTCAAAATTCGGAATGATAAATTGAGAATTGATTGTACAAGAGAGATGTTGGGAATAGCATATATTTGAAGATAGAGGAAATATACTTTGATGATCTTGGCATATGCAATGTAGGATATACGATGCACCAATAATATGGGCTAATAAATTATTACCATCGAAGTATTAGGAATAAAAATGGGTAAATTGAGTGTTACTTGGATAAAGTCATGCAAAAAGATTCAACAAAATAGGTTTAAAACCTCATGCAACACTGAATTGGGACAAAAACAAAATGAGGATTCAGTAAGCAGACCCATTAATTGGAATAAGACTAATGATTTTTTTGTTAAATTTTTTAATTTTTTTTTAATTTTTATTTATTTTTATTTTATTATTGTTATTATTTTTTATGGAATAAGGCTAATGATGATAATGATGACCGTATGTAAGAGGGTTTTTTATTATATAAAGTCAACTGTTTGTTTAGATGCCTAATATTTAGTGCAAAACTGGCATAATCTTTTCTGTCTTATCTTTAATACAGATGTCTGGTTCTTGTCAACTTCCTAACGGATTTCAAAGAAGAAATCTATTGCATAACAAAGCTGCCTCGAAGAAACTTCTACATTTGTGTGTAAGCCCAACTCTTACACCTAGAAGCATTGATGCCAAGTATCTACAATTGCAATGGAAGAAGATTGATTGCTTAGAAAGTCAGGTTGGAGGTTCAAAAAATATTTTTTGCAAACTATTTGGAACTATGAATGCAGAGAATACATTTTGGTTGGATAGCTCCTTCACAGATCAGGTAATGATTTACATTTTTTTTTCTACATTTTGAAAGTTTCCCATTATTACTCTATAACAAATCTAGATGCTCTTCGGGCTTCTATTTTTCCCCAGGTAAATTTAAATTTTAGAATTTTCAGCGCAAACTATCCGAGTTTCTTCTATCCTAATCTTATTAAGATTTTATTTGTTAATTTTATGATAGTATTTAAATTCCTTTTCTTCTTGATTTCTTGTTGCATTTAAATTTTCAGATATTTTGTGTTTGAGTTTTCTTTTGCAATCCAAAAAAATACAGACTCAATGTTAATCTTTGATGCTATTCTACTAAGAATGGAAGCTCTTTAAACTACTTGTAATCTTAATTGCCTCTCTATTATAAGAAAATGACTTTCTTGATTTATGAGGCTTCATGTTAGTGCGGGTCTGAAAAGGATTTCATGCATGTAACATTACCCTTCTAGTGATTTTACAAACCGCCTTACTGACCTAATAAAAATTTATCCACCAAATTGACAAGTGGATAGAATTCGCCTATTACAAGTTTACAGCCACATAGCTAAAGAATTCGATTTTCTTTTAATTATTACAACCAATGAAAATCAAATATAAACTTGAGCTTTGAAGTTTGAATACTAAAACACGGTCTCACCTGAAAGCTAAAAGGCTCACAAATGAAGCCAACCCTTGAGGTGACTGTCGTTTAATCACTTGTTCATTAAAATAAAATTAAAGGAAAGAAGCGAGTTCCTAACTTAGTAGGAAGCATAGCTATAATGTAATAATTAAGAAACAATTTGATGAGGACATCAGATTTCGACACGTGTACCATCACCGGAGACGCATATCGATGGCTACGATCCAGAGCCTCTACTACTGATTTATTTGCATTTTTATTTTATGCATGTATTTCTTATTTCCTAGTTTACCCCTGTGGGCATTGAGTCGCTTATGTAGCCCGGAAGGGCATTTGTGTCATTTCATTTTATTTCATTTTGGCCTACTTATATGAGGCCTCATGCATTGTAATGAGTAGTTTTGATAAATGAAAATTTCTTTCCGTTGAGATCTCTTTGTGAGTTCGTGAGATTTCCCAAGATCTCTTTGTGAGTTCTTGGGGAAATAGCATTGTGAGTATCTTTGTGAACTCTTTGTGAGAGTGGTGTTCAAGGTTTGTCATTTGAAATTTCTTTGTTTTTCTCCCCAATCTTTTTTCTCCCACTCAGCCAAAATTCCCCTTCTCTTCTCTTTCCCCCACCACCATACAAGCTCCACCGCCGGCCTCCCTTGGCCGGCCCAGCCACCGGCGGTCCTCCCCGCACCCAAGTCGCCGGCCTTCCCTCCCCCACCACTCCCACGGCCACCCCACACCAGCCGCCGGCCAACCTGCTTTCAAAATTTGAAATCCAATTTCAAAGCCTTAATTTCTTTCCTATTCTACATCCCCCTCAAATAGGAAAGTTGGCCTTTTTTATTCCTTTTCATTTAACGGGAAAAATTCAACGTTTCTTAAGGCCCAAGCTATTTTAGGAGATATTCCCTGTAGAGCAAATATGAGAATCCAATTTCAGATTTGAAATTCCGTGAGTTTCTCTGTGGGCCCACGTAATTAAATTTAATTACTCCCTCAGCTCTTCATTGGGCCGGCCACCTCCTCATCCTCTTTTCTCTCTCCAATCACCACTTAATCACCCCTTTAAATCCCCCCTCCCTCTCTTTCTCTTTTTTTAAATTTCAAATCTGGACTTGAAATTTAAACTTGCAATTCTTATTAGAATCTGAAATAAAATTTAGATTTGGTTCATCTCCACCATAGTCTTACCCGCTCCCATCTTCCTCTTTCTTTCCGTTCATCCATCAACGGCAAGGATGCATGGCGGAACCCGAATGGAACTTTGGATTTGTGTATGACGATCGAGATCAAGTCGACATTCTTCAATCGCCATTCTTTGACGTGTGCTTTGATTTCGACGACACCGTTGAAGAATACATCGACCGTATCCATTATACCTTAGTTGACGTGATCGACGAGCAAAGGTCAAAGGGACGTTGGATCATCATTGGATGACAATCATCCTCCATCGTTGGATCATCATTGGAAAGTTTTCATTATTAAATCGTGGATTTTTATTTATCGTCGTAGCTTTACAATTACTCTTTGCGTTTTCTTGAATTGTTTGGTTAATCGAATTCGCTCTTCTTTGCCTAAAGCAAGTTAAAGACTAGGAACTCCGAGGGCCAATCTTTATTATAAGTAATAACTTTATTTTGGAACTATTTTGTTAATTTGCTATCTTTAATTTCTTAAGTAACTCCTGTTGTTTCACATCATATTTGGTATCAGAGCATGGTAGGCATGCATGACATGTTAGAAAAACATCCCAGGGTCTAACCTTGCGTTATAGTTTAATTTTTGCATGCATATCATCGCATATGTAGGTTTACTCACTGTTTTTCACTGCTGTCTTTACAATTCCTGCACGCATTTAGTGGGTTTTAGGTTAGCATTTCATGTACTTAAGTGCTGTCCACACTCTAGACACCTAACCCAACACTTAACGCAATTATTCAAGCATTGTGGTGTGCTGTCCAGGAAAATTCTGCATCGTTTACCTGCTGTTAGGTGAACTTAACTTGTTATTTAGGTGCTATACTCTCTCTAGATGCCCCACTTATCTTTAGGACTCAATCTAGAATGGTAGCTTGCTGTCCACATCATTTTATGCACTACCTAGTGGCATTTAAGTGAACCTAACCTAGTGTTTAGGTGCTGTCCCCACCCTATCGTTCTTCCTAAATGCCTAGAGAACTTAAATTAATGCTGTAGTTTGCCGTCCCCTCACTTCCTACCTCATTTAGTGACTTTCCAGCAAGCATAACATTGTAATCAGGTGCTGTCCTTGCACATTAGGGCCCCTATCCTTCACCCACTCACCAAGTTCTTGTGTAAACTGTAGGTAACATGATATTCCACTTTGTAACTTGCCGTCCAAACAATTTCTGCACCCTTTAGCGAGCTTTTTTTTATTTTTATTTATTTTTTTTTAATTTTTTGTTAAACCCTTTAGCGAGCTTAAGTGAGTCTAACTTGGTGACTAAAGTGCTGTCTTTTTCATCCTATCATCCTTAGGTATTCCTTAGAGCTTCCCATGGACCCGATAGGAATTCAAAAGAAGTTAGATGACCTAGTTAGTTTAGTGGACTCTATGACTCAAACCATGAAGGAGAAATAGGTTGACTCTCCCCACTCTAGGAAGGTGCCCCATTCGGTCAGTCATGTTAGTCGGGAGACGCCTCACTCTAGTTATCAATCTAGACCTAAGCCTAAGACACAGCAACAACCACACTTTGAGTCACCTTACCGTCTACCCACCTTTGATGGTTCTTCGGACCCTTACTACTTTAGGGAATGTGTTAGACGATTAGAGGACTACTTTGAATCACGACATGTCCCTAAGTCCCACAAGGTTTGTATCGCTAAATCTCACCTCAAAGGTCAGGCTCTTCAATTTTGGGTAAGATTGGAAGATCATAAAGAGTCTTGCGGTGGGTATCCTACTTGAAAAGACATAAGGAGAGATCTTAATTTAAAATACCGACCCTCTACCAGTGACCACCATCTAGAGCCACACCCTATCTCTTCTGTTGGAACAAACCGTGGACATTACTGTGGTCGAGACCACCCACCCTTTGGTAACGTCAGGGTTGTTGTCCCACCCTGTAGGTCTTCACTTAGTCTTGATGACCGACCCTTTAGTGGATCTTCTGTTGGATCAAGCCCATATGACTCCCCACTTGGACTAACTTCTAGCCAGCTCAGTCAACCTTTAGCCTCCCTAGTCCTTGACCCTACAAGTGTAATTTTAATAAAGAATTGCAGTAAAAAGAAGAAATCTACTGAACCTGAGACTGAATACATCCATTTCGTGGATACTATCGATAACGAGGACTTATTTGAGGATGAAACTGAAGTGATTGAGTCAGACTCTTGGCACGACTTAAACCCTGAGCTAGGAAAGTTGAAACCTTTAAACATCGACACCTTAGCCCACCCTGCTCCTAGCTCCTCGAGGATAACTCTTTGGATAGAGTCTGCCTGGACGATAGTAATGTGAGCTCGAAAGAAGCCAATCTGACCTTGAACACATTGAATTTAAATTCGGAAGATCCTGATTTAGTTGTATCACCTAGTGAGTTGACTTTGGATAATCTCGATTCGGAAGTGGTTCAACTAAACTTACCATCTGATTTAACACCCGATTTAATTGACCCTAAACCCATTTACCCTGATTCTATTGAGAATAGTAGTATGAGTTCGGAAGATAGTGATTTGAGTCTGAAAGTTTCTGAGCCTAATTTGAATAATGAGTCTCCTCTTGTTTTATTAGAATCTAATTTTAGAGTTGCTCATTTAGATTTTTATTTGGCAAAGTGTGTCTTTCCTGATTTGACTTACCTCATCATTCCTTGTACCAACTTTAATATTCGACAGAGCATTAGCCCATACCTTCTTGATGCCTCTCTAACTGTTGTACCCACATCTGTCCTTGGAACTCTACCCCATCTTATGAGTCCCATACCTACTGACGACTCTTTGGGCTATACCCTTATGGATGTGAGTCAAGACCCATCATCTTATCTTGTTCCTGATTCATTGATTTTGCCCATTATAGCCTCGTCCTATCATGTTAAGGACCATCTCTCTCCTAGTTGGATAAATTTGCTCGATTACACTACTACCACTAGGAGACTACCTACGACCTTAACTGAAACTTCCTATAGAAGTGCCCTGGTAGCTAAGGATGTCTTTATTGCTCCCCCTACACCAGTTCCCATAGATTTGAACACTTTAGATCCCCTCATTTCGTGACTCTTCCACCTTTATTCTAACTATGTGATCGTGTGAGTTAGTATGTTGTGTGTGTGTTTTGTAGTCTGTTGTCTTCCTAATTTGTCTATGTTTAAAACTTTTGTGTGAGCTCATAAGTCTTGTCATTCATCATGCACACCCGGTCTCTT